GTCATTTGTGACTTTGTCAAGCGTTGTCTCTGTGCTGTGGGCATGGCGAAAACCAGACTGCAGGGGCTCAAGGAGGGAGTGGAGGGATAGATGTGACTGACGTTGACCTGCAACAATGTGTTCCAGTAATTTGGCAAGGAAGGTTATGTTGGAGATGGGACAGTAGTGTGAGAGATTAGAGGGATCGAGGGTGGGTTTTTTGAGGAGGGGTGTCATGACACGGTTTTCAGGGGGAATGGAACAGAGCCTGAGGAGAGAGACTGATTGATCTTGTCGGCCAGCAGTGGGGAGAGAAGGGGGAGTTGAGGAACCAGCAGCTGAGTGGGGAGGGGTTCAACGTAGCAGGTGGTGAACTTCATGCAGGTGATTGTGGTTGGGAGGGAGGAGGGAGAGATGGCGGCAAAGGAGTGTAAGGAGGGAATAATGGCAAGAGCCGGAGCAGAGGGAGAAGGCGGTGTGGATGGTCTGGGTGGGGTGGAAGGAGACATGGGCACGATGCAGCCAAGCTGATGTTTTCAATAAAACCTTTTATTTCACCTTTTATGGTGAAATATTGTACTTAAAGAATGGTGAAAAAGAGACTCAGGATTCTCAGAGCAGGAAAATTTGGGAGGGCTTCTTAGGGAAGGCAGTTTGGAGGGCTAATGTTTCTGTAGACTCTGCTTTTATTTTGTCTGCCGCACAGATGAAGGGAGGTGGTCAAGATTGTGGTATAATTAATGCAGGAAACAGGTAATTACCTAAAAGATTAATAACGTTTAAGTGATACACATAGGAAACTGAGACAGATCAAAGGGCAGAACCCAAAGTCTAAAAGATAAGTAAAAATTATTTGGATTAAATAATTATCACTTTTATGAATAAATAGCTGGCTTTCCATCAGCTTGCCAGCTATCACTGAAAGATTACACTTGGCTGTTGGCATGACTGATTTTAGCCATAGTGTTGTGCTCCATTTCGTCAGGAAGCATATTTCGTCTTCATTAAAGCACTGCTGTTTGTTACTTTCTCTCATCATGACACACGTCTGCATGGTCTCAATTGTGATTTTCACCTCTGAGATCAGCCCATTAGAAAGGCACAAGGTCAGTGCACCGCCAGTTAGTCCCTCAATTACACTAAAGATCATTTCTGAGAATACCAGCTTGGAAGCATGGGCTAAGGACATGTCAGTCAAAACAGGAGAGGGCAATATAAACTGCAGTTTTTACAACAACAATAATAAAATTACATTTGTATAGTGCCTTTCACATCGGGAGGATGTCCCAAGGTCCTGGACAGTCCGTGTTTGGACCTGGGCTGGGGGTTGGGATTGGGAAGGGTGGAGGGCAGGGTGTAAAGGAGGATGATAAAAAGCATGGTCAAAGAGATGGGTCTTGAAGGAGGCAAGGAAGCGAAAGAGGCGGAGGGACTGCGGGATGGCGTTCTCGAGCGTGGGGGCAGAGTGGCAGAAGGCCTGCCCACCAAGAACACATAACTCAGAAATAAGTGGAGCTTCTGGCAAGCAGTCATTTGCATGCTTTAATTCTGCGTGGATTTTAAAGCAACTCATATTGTGGATTTGTTTTCAAAAATTCCATACCATATTTTTTTGGGTGAAACTGAATGCTAACATTTGGTTCATCATGTTACATAACTGTTTCATTTTGTTGTTGACTGTTCATGGTGTCTAATGGAAGAACATTGAAATTGAACTGTGGCTTGCTGTCGACAGGGCGAGTAAGATGACGTATCCGCTGTGGAAGAAAGATACATTGCATTCTTAATAGATATATGGATGCAGCACATTGACTAGGTCATTACTTATAGAAGCTAGATCAATAAGACATTTGATTGTGAAACCTATTTCATAGATGATCAACTCATTTGCCGAAGGCTTGTTACATATACCATAGGGAGAGGAACCAGATTCCCAGAACTGCCCATCACTAATGAGCTATCATATCTATCATATCTATCATAACTATTATAGCTAAGGTAAGTTTATTCAATAAAATTAATAATAATCTGAATTTGATTAAGCTTCTTATAATTCCAAAGTACATCTTTACGGGATAAACTGTACAGTGATGTGACTGTCTGCAACTTGTGGGCGGATGGGCAGCCAATATGCACACAGCAATGTCCCGCAAATGGCCTTGGAGTGAGTTATGAATTTTATTTGGGGAAATGTTGGCCAGGACACTGGGCGAGAGAAACTCCCTTCTCTTTTCGAATAGTACCATGGGATCTTTAATGTCCACCTGGATAGGCTTAAATAATAATCATAATTGGTGCATTTGATTTTGCGCTTTTCATGTCAGGAGGATATCCCAAAGCATTTCACGTGATATACTGTAATGTGGACCAACTTGTGTGTTTTTGTGGGCAAATGCGATAGCCGATTTGCACACAGTAACATCCCACAAACAAGCATGATCACTTTTAGTTGGGTGATTGTAGGGAATCAATAAAATCCACCTGAACAGGCAGGCGGAGCCTTGCTTTAACATTTCACCTGGAGGATGGCACCTCCGATAATGCAGTAGATTCCCAGCACTATACATTCAATGTTTGTTTGTGGGATGTTACTGTGTGCAAATTGACTATTTGGGGTCCATGTTCGTACGAAGGGCAGGAGTAGAAAATGCTATCAAGTAAGCCAGAATGACACACATTCTGTTGGAGGAATGCTATAACTTTTCTCTTCAAAATTTTCATTTTATTTCTTTTAATCCGTGCAAGGACCTGTTCTGCCTTCCCCCACTCTGCAACTGTAGCTGGAGTCCTGTAGTTCAGGGGTTAGAGCATTCGCCTCGCAAGCAAGAGACCTGGGTTTGATTCCCAGCAGGGCAAGTTTCCTTATTCTACATGCCTCTGTTTACCCAGCAGTAAGTAGGAACTCAGTTGTTAGTTGATTGGTGTATCGCTTTTTCAGGGGTAATAATTCCTTCAAAAAAAAATAATAAATCCATGACTTTGTGGGACACTGCTGTGCGCAATTGTTTGTCGGGTTTCGTCCACAAAATATACACTCAATTCATTTTACAGTATATTCTGTGAAGTGTTTTGAGACGTCCCAAAGATGTGATAAAGTGCTATATCAAATGCAAGAATTATTATTAACTCTGCCACTACCTCTCCCCACAGGCTGCTGAGCCCCTCATTCATGTATTCCTCACATGCAGACTTGATTACACTAACTCCTAGCCTGTCGGTCTACCTAATTCTTCCATCCACAAGCTGCCAATTATTCAGAATTCTGCAGCGCGTGTCTTCTCCTGCACCAGGCTCCGTGAACCTATCACTGCCGCCCTCGCCCGGATTCTTTGGCTCCAATCCCCAGAGGATAGAGTTCAAAATCCTCATCCTCGCTTTCAAAGTCTTCCATGGCCTTGCTCCTCCCCAGCTCTGTAATCTTGTAACCATGATACTGGCCTGTCCGTTCCCTCCACTTGGTGGACTCTGGTCTACCCCACATTCCCCGCATTGCTCGCCCCACCATTACTGATCAGGGCTTCCGCCTTATTGCCCCGCCATTTGGAACTCCATCCCACAGTCCCTTCACTTCGCCCTGTACTGTTCCTCCTTCAAAGCCTGTCTCAAGACCTTAGCTTTCAATCATGCCCTCAGTCACCCTTCCTGCCCTCCACTTGTCTGATCCCAACACCCAGCTCAGGTACAAATCCTTGACTGTTCAGCGCATTGAGACATCCTCTGTCATGAAAGCTGCTATACAAATGAAATTTGTTGTTCTGTTTTAATGAAAAAAACAGCATAAAAGATGTGCAAAAGAATTCACAGATACAAAGGTGATCAGAATGAATAAAAATAGACTATGAATGTGAATCTAAAAGGTATGGGGAAATGACAAGAAATTGGGATTAGAGTCAGTAGCTCTGGTGGAGTTGCCAGCACCAGTATGGAACCATAGAAAATTTACAACACAGAAGGTCACTTGTCCTATCGTGCTTGACCTGAATCTCTGAAAGAAGTTAGTGTTATTTGCCTGACTTTTCCCCATATCTTTTTATATGAATCCTTTTCAGATGTTTAATTTCTTTTGAAAAAAATAAGGTGCACTGTATTAACAGAATTTAACATTCTGCATTTAGACTGTATCATTTAATCTCTCTTCAAAAGCTTATGTGGATTCTGCATTCCAGAGAGGGAATTCCAAGTTTTAACAATCTACGTAAAAACAATCTCCGCTTCAATCCCTTTGTTTTTTTTAGGAGTACTCACTTTTTCTTTCATATTACAGTTATGGACTCACTGACTGGGGAAAAATGAAGGTCTTGAGACAGATCTTGAGACAGATGAGAGAGGAGGTTAGTTAGAGGAGGTCGAAGAGGTAGTGTGGAGCAAGATTATGTCCAACAATTTATGCCTATACAGGAATATATTGTTAGTTGGGTTCAATGTCTCAGCAACTGTTTAATAAGAAAGTTGCAGAAAATTGTCTGTCTTCCGGGTCACTACACCCCTCTTGCATATTGTGTGCGAACAACGACAACAAAATTACATTTGTATAGCGCCTTTCATGTCGGGAGGACATCCCAAGGCACTGGAGTGCCACAGACATCATCATTTGCAAAATGATATCAGGAACACTTTCTATGCATAGCATGCAGACCCAGTGCACAGAAAATGAAATCAGTGGCAACCTGACCTGGCTATTTTTCTGATGGAATGCATGTCAAGGAACAGAATGCGCAAGAAACCGAGTGTACCTTTCTTCCATTTGTTACAGGTCCATTGCATACCAGCTCTGTAAATGTGATTCATTTTGAAATGCCACAATCGCATTATCTGGAAAGTGCCTTCACAGTACTTGTGACATTGGTGCACCACTGGCAGAGTTTTGAAGAAGCTTTTTTCCAATAAATTAAATAACTTACCTGTATCAAAGACCCACTGGTTGAGCCAATATTGATCATGATCCAGAGTGGAATGCATATCAGGGAAGAGACTTTGAGTAACCAGCCCCAAAAATATGCCATTGTTGGATATACATAAGACCCGATCGTTAGACGGGAGTCCGTTATCATTCCGTAAATAAAACAAGCCTTGAAAAAGAGAAAACAATAAGAGATGTTAGGTTTATAATGTCTGTAATTTTCCCTCTGAGTCATCTCTTTTCAAGATTGAAGAGCCTGAGCTTATTCTTTCATCCCTCCAACATCCCTCTCTCCAGCTCAATTGCTCTCCTCTGCACCATCTAGAGATTCATTACTGATTTAATACATCTGAAAAGAATGAGATGCTCACAATTAAAATACTTGGAGTGTAGAAACACCAACACCACTTAATTAAAGGCCAGGGTCTGTATCCGATCATGTTTGCTATGTCATCATAGAAGCGATCAGCACCTGCATCAAATCAGAAGAAGGGTAAGAAGTTACAATCTATCTTGAACAGCACAGTCAATGCTAAAGAATTTTTAAAAATATTTCTGGATTTCTGGACAATGTAGCTCCCCAGAAGAAAAGGAGAAAGAGTTGGCGAATGATGATATCATCAGGAATCAAACATGGAAATGTGTTTGATTCCCAGGACTGGCCGCTTGTTGAACGTGGAAACATACTGTAATTAAAACAAATTATTATTTAATAATAATAATAATCCTTGCATTTGATATAGCGCTTTTCACATCGGGAGGACGTCCTTCACAGAACACACTGTAAAAGTGAATTGACTGTATATTTGTGGGCGAACGCGGCAGCCAATTGCGCACAGCAATGTCCCACAAACAGTTGTAGATTGAAAATGACCAATTTATTATTGTTTTTGGTTTTGGAGGGATTATTATTAGGCGTATGGAGTAAGGAAACTTGCCCAAGGTTTCGCCCTGCCTGGTTTTGACCATGAATCTGCAGCTGAAACCTGCAAAGGGGTCTTTTCCATAAAGAAGTTGAATGAAATTCTTTATTTCAAATCCAGAAGCATATAATGTTAAACCAAGGTTTGGATCATGCTTTCGTTGGTACAAGATCTCAGAGAGGCGAGCTGTATTGTTTACAATTTGGGGACCTGTTACATTACAATTTCTATGGTTCATTAATATTTGGGAATCTAGTGTTGTCATTCGAGTCAATCCAGTTTTGTCATGAGATTTTATTTTTGTCCAATTGTCAGGTTTATTAGCCTTTATGACAGGAGAAAGAATAAAAACAGCTTTCATTATTTCAGTCTCATTGAGGTGGCATAATGATGTCAATTATTATAAAATGTACAGTCAATTCACTTTACCGCATATTCTGTGAAGCACTTTGAGACGTCTTGAAGATGTGATAAGGCACTATATCAAATACAAGGATTATTAGTTTATTATTATAATTATCAACAAAGTCCCATTCAAGGTATGTTTTAATTGAATTTCCAGATCGTAGTTTTAAAGAGTTTGGTTTGTAGCACTGTTGTGCCTTTTAAATCAAAGCATTTCTCAGGATTTAATAATAATAATCCTTGCGCCTTATCAAAACTTCAAGATGGCTCAAAGCGCTTCACAGAATATACTCAATTTGTGCGGAACAATGTTCCACAAACAGCCATGAAATGAATGATCAATTTTGACTGGGGGATGTTGGCCGGAATACCGGGAGAAGCTCCCTTCTTTATCAACTACGAGAAGTACTCCCTTCTCTTGTAATCAATATAGAAATGGTGTCGCGTAGTAAAACATTTTGAAGTAGGACTACATTTGATGTATAAGCCATGCTTTGAAGTTATATTTATTTATGATGTCTTATTGGCTGTGACAATGACTTGCAATTATATGGTGCCTTTCATGCACGGGCGCCATCTTGAAGTGCTTTATAAAGAAGAAGTCCAGGCAGATCAGGGAGTAGTGGAGAGGTGGTGGTAGGTCATAGAGATAGGTCTTTAGACAGGTTTTTAAAATAAAGGAGAGAGATAGTTGGAGGGGATCAAAGAAGTTGCAGAAATGGCTAAGTGGCTGGAATCTCAATTGCCAATGGTGGGCAGAGCAGGCCAGGGGATCTTAAGGTAGGGGGGGCAAAGTTGTTGAAGGTTGCTAAATTTAATCTGCTAGGATTTGGGTAGTCAGTGGAGCCAGGCAAATATATGGGGTTATAAGCTTACCATCCTGGAAATGAGAGAGAATATAAGCTGCCCAGTTCTGAATGATCTGGAGTTGGGGAGACTGGTGAGCAAGGCTTTGTAAAAGTTGAGTCAGAAGAAGACAAAGGCGTGGATGAAGCTTTCAACTGGTTTGGGAATATAAAAGAAACCCCTTGCATTTGATATTGCTCCTTAACATGTTGTCAAGGCGTCTTAAAGCACTTCACAGGATATACTGTAAAGTGGATTTTGCACACAGCAGTGTCCCACAAACAGCCATGGAGTGAGTGACCAATTTTATTTTGGAATTGTTGGCAAGGGCACTGAAAGAAACTGCTTTCACTTTTTGAATAGACTCCACTATTCAAATGCCTCCCTCACCGGTCTCCCCAGCTCCACCATCACAAGATCAAGCTAATCCAAACTTCCGCCACACCTATAATCACCCTTACTAAACTCCATACCCCCATTATACCATTTCTAGCCAAGCTTCACTGGTTCCCTATTGCCAAATTGATCAATTTCATGCCCTGGCATCTCCCTACCTACTTGTGGAAGTAAGGCATTTGTGGAGGTGGGTAGTGATGCAGAGATGGAAGAAAGTAAATTTGGGCAAAGCCCTTACAAAATCTTAAAGAAAATAGAGTCAAACAAAGTGCCTAGGATCTACACAGACTCATCAGTACGTAAGCTTACATGTTATCTGTGTGAATCAGAGGTGCATAATACAACAAAAAATTATGACACCAGCATACATTTCTCATACTAAAATATGTTTTTCTGCTTTGTGTGTCCATTAAAATTGATTTTTTGAGAGTTTGATAACAGAATCTGCTTTTTGTATGCTTGTTGGATCTCAAATCTCGTGGGGACATAAGTGTGGTCTTCTTGGAGATGAGCTGTCTCCAAGGTGACCTTGGCAAAGTAATATCGGAGTTGAGTCAACACTCTGTGGTGGTCTTGGTAATCTGACTCCTGAGCCTGGTGGGTCCACAATTGCCTAGAGATGACAGACCACCCAGCCTGGATCATTGTCAGGACGAGGAGGTGCAGACTATCACTGAGAGCAGATATTCTTACCACTCAACTCCTGTTATGCCAAATATGTAAGGGTTAAGTGATTTTAGCTGAATAAGCATTCAGAATCTTGCTACACAATGTAGTCAATGGCAAGTTAAGTAGGTTTATCAGGTTAAACTCCATCAGTACTCCAACTCACACTTTGAGGTAACTTGGCTCTTGTCAAGTTGTGCGTTATTCAGAATGAAGTAAGCAGGGTGTGTTGTTCCAAGGAGAAAGTGCGCATTCCATTCCAGACATGGAGATATTTCTTACCTATGTGGAACTCTCAGTTTAGTTTAGATACTCAAGCATGCTGATGGGTTTCTTGCCCACAAATATATATAGTCACTATTCTGTGAAGTGCTTTGAGACATCTAGAAGACGTGAAAAGTGCTATATCAAATTCAAGGATTATTATTATTATTCTCTCTTGACTGAATCATGTCAGATGGCCCATGCCAAGAAAAGTTGGTACAGACTTGATGGTCTGTTCGGTTTTGTGATATTTTCTGTTTCTATGTTCAGTTTCACTGCAGTTTCCACAACTTTTCCCTTCTTTTTATTGCCACATTGCAAGAGGTAACGGACACACTCTTATTCCAAACACTCACCATAAATCCAGGCAATGCCGATAGTTTCAAAAATGGCCACAAAAAATAGGCAGCTGCTATTGCATCCGTAATATTGAATCAGGTAGAAGATGTATAAGCCACCCTGATAGAACAGGAAGAGAAGAGAGAAGCATGAGATCGGGCTGCACTGAACTGACTTGTCAAGTGATCGGTTGATTGGCGTAGAGCTTTGTGAATGAGAAATCAATGTTGCTGAGTTAAACAACAGTTTAAAAATGTTTAGGGTTTAGCTGCAAGGCCGTCTATACAAATGTTCCTCTACTTAATTTGCGCATCTTAATTTTTTTTACCCTTTTACAGTAAAGGTAACTGTTGTATGCTCTGCTCCACCCAAAACAGGCATCGTTGAGTGAAACCAACCAGAACACTCCATGATTTTGCAAATAGCTTTTGGGAGAAAAGCTCAGAGTTCAGAGTGTATACCTGATTTGCTGCATACTCAACCTCCCGTATAGCTTCACAGTAGAATAAAACGGGTGGTGGCAAGACTGGGACAGAAAAACACAGTACAACTTGTTAAATTGATTTTCTTACTTCTGTTACCATCAATAGACTGATCAAAAAGAAGACAATAGTGATGGCCAGAATAAAGAGCTCTCTGCAGAATCCCTTCTGGAATATTCTTGGAAATACGTCAACAATGGTGGTCACCAAGCTCTCCATGGAGACAAACTGGTTGAATTTACAAACAAAAAAAGTATTAGTAAGCAGGTAATATACAATGTAACTTTTCTCTGAATTTTATTTGATCAGCCAGGTGTCTGACACATGCAGATCACCGTGCTTGAGCATCCAAATCAAAGTGTTCCGTGCATCCCATCTACACATTAAATGGAATACCCACTCTCTCCTTGGAGGGATTCAGCCTGCTTCCCTAATTCTGGGCAGCTTGTCTGACTCAGGACCAGGATTACCAAGACAGCCACAGAGGGTTGTCTCGATTCCGATATTCAATTCCTACGAATGCCATCTTGGAGCCAGTTCAGCTCTGAGGAGACCACGATTACCTTCCCCCAGGGACGACAATCATTTGATGATGATGATTTGATGATGGTCATTTGATATCCGACAAGCGCAAACTTTTGCCCTCATGAAGTGGATGGCAGGTACCAGGAATTCCATGTGAACTTCCAGGTGGGCGACACAGCTCAACATGAAATGAGTGAGAGCATTGCTACTATTTGCTTGCCCACAGCTTGAACACGCTTCCCTTCCCATTGAACAATCGTAGAATTATACAGCACAGACACAATGGTTCAGTTGGAGGTGTGGAGCTGGAGCAACATCTGCTCAACACTCTGTATATAATTCAATGTGGTTTCCAAGCTCCGATATATGAACATGTGATCATAAATTCAGATTTCAGGTAACAGCAGCTGTCGCCCCAGAGTTTCCTCATCATCTATCTGACGGACATCTGCATTTTAGTGTGGTGGGAGGACCTTTAAAGGACACGATTGTGACATGCCAACCATATTGATGTTCTCCAAGTCCAAGTTCAATGCTGCGTACCCGGCTTACTCAGCACCAGATGCATTTGTCTGACAATTTTTTTTATTTCTCCCTCTCTCTTTCAAACTGATCCTGGTTGTGACTGAACCTTATACACTCAGCCCTGTATGAACTGATTGGTGTAGGATTTTCCTCCTATATATCAATAAGCATACGTAAGGGCAAATCCATGTTAACCAATTGCTTGCCTTCTCTGATGAATCCAGGTGGCAAGCTATGAATCGATGTGTGAGATTACTCTGTTACACTAATAATGGGGATTTATAGTGCAGATTGCATCAAACCAACCACCAAAGGCCAATCAAACTGCCTGAAAACAAGCCTGTTTGTAACTTGACGCTTTGAAGCACAAGAGGTTGTACACTAAGATAATGTGATATAAGTTTCCTCAGGATTCCCCGCACAGTGAGGATTTGAGCTCAGGCACCATATTGCAGGTTCCACTCCAATTGCCATGTTGCACTCTCACTTTCTAACCAGAAATAGTGGATACCTGGAAACTATTTAGCAGGAAAATCCTATGCTTTTATTATCAAACTAATGAGTGTAAAATTAAATAATGCTAAAAAGCACTGGTTAAATACATTTCAAGCCATCTTTTGTGAACATTGTGACATTTGAACATTGTGAATTGCACAGTACCTGAACGTTGAATGCCAGAAAGATGCACATAAAAACGAATAGACACCACCAAAGCTGAGAGAGTGGCATCCTGGACACTGCCTTTGGAAATGTGATAAACATCAAACCCTGACCTGTGCAGAGAGATGACATTGATCAGAACATTCTTCATGGTAAATTCAATAAAATGTAAACAGTTGGCTCTGCTCACATGGACTAAAGAACATCAGTCAGTCTCTCAGTTGTCTCATCGGAAAAGAAAAGCTTTTGGGATAATAATGGTAAATTCAATAAAATGTAAACAGTTGGCTTTGCTCACATGGACTAAAGAACATCAGTCAGTCTCTCAGTTGTCTCATCGGAAAAGAAAAGCTTTTGGGATAATAATAATTATTTGGGATAATAATAATAATTATGGGATAATCCTTGCATTTGATATAGCACCTTATCACGTCTTCGAGACATCTCAAAGCATTCACAGAATGTACTGTAAAGTGAATTAACTATATATTTTGTGGGCAAAACACGGCAGCTAGTTGTGCACAGTGTCCCACAAATAGTTGTGGATTGAGTGACAAAATTATTATTGTTATTTTTTTCTGAAGGAATTATTGGAGTGACTGACCAATCTTTTTTATTTGGAGATCGTTGACAACGACACCGGGAGAAACTCCTTTCTCTTTTCAAATAGTGTAATGGGATCTTTATTGTCCACCTGAACAGGCAGATGGGATCTCATTTTAACACTTCATTTGAAGGACGGCACCTCCAACAATACAAAGCACTCCCAGTAGTCCATTGGAGTGTTAGTTTAGACAATGTGATTCGAAGGCCAATGGAGGGGCTTGAACTCAGAGGTGAGAGTGCTACCATTGAACTAGGCCGACAAAAGCTTTTGTAGACATTTAAACAATGAGAGGTTAATCACTGGGCACACTTAAGGATTTCAAAAAAATGGGCACTATGTTAAATAAGTTCCATGTACCTTAGTGTAGTTACAGTGTAGTAAGATGCTGGTGCTGCGAATAGCTGAGGTAGCTGTGAATAATAATAATATAATAATCCTTGGGTTTGATATGGGATATAGTGCTTTTCATGTCTTCTAGACAGCTCAAAGCGCTTCACAGAATATACTGTAAAGTGAATTGACTGTATATTTGTGGGTGAATAAAGCAATAGTTGTGAATAAAACATCTGTCAAACACACATATCAATTTTGAAGTAGTAGACAAAATATTTATAGAACTTAAAGTGGACAACAAACCAAGGGAAAAGAGATTTCATTCTTGATTGTTGAATAGATTAAATAATATGAGTACGCCATTTTTCAAAAAAGATGTTAAACTTGTAGCTGTGGCCATTTTGTCTTATATTGGTAGAAGAAATTTTGCAATGGGCATGCTTGGTGCTTCAATTTTTAGCAAAATGTTTCTTTTATCATAAATTTTAACATGTATGCAAGAGGATGCCCAAATTTTCTTCTCCTACACAGATGTACAGAATGTCATTTGTCACATTGTTCCATCAAGATCCATCAATGTTATGTCCTCTTGCTTGTTTGACATCAAATATTAACTTTTTGCAGCTGAATGTTGACAAGACAGGAGCCATCCTCTTTGGCTCTCATCTATGTCTTCTCACCTGTGGTTCCAAACCTCCTTAACCTCTCCGGCCTTTCCCTCAGTCTCACTGAACTCGTATGCAACCTTTGCATCAGGTTTGATCCCCTGCTATCCTTTCTTACCCACATTCGGGCCCTGACTAGACTGCTTTTCTCTACCACCACCACCACCATTGCCTGCCTCTAAGCATACCTCAGACCCAGCACAGCTAAACCCTTTATCCATGCATTCGTCACCTCCTGCCTTGATTTTTCCAATGCCCTCTTCGCAAGTCACTCCAATTGCACCATTCATAAAATCCAATTAATGAAAAACTCTGCCACCTTACCTGTTCAAACTCTGCACCCCCGGCCCACCTGGCTCCTTATTGTAGAACAGATCGATTTGAAGATCCTCAAACTTGTGTCCAAACCACTTCACTCCCAGGCACCTCCCTACCTCTCTTACCTGCTTGCATCTCACTCTTCTATCCACCTCCTTCACTCAGGAGCTCTGTCCTTCTGCACATCCCTCATCCTTTCTGCTTCACCATTGGTGGACATGCTTTCAGGCACTGTACCCAGAAACTGTGGAACTGTCTGGCTCAAACCCTTCACTTTGCTTTTTCCTTGCCCAGTTTCAGATCATGCCTGAAGACCTTCCTCTTGACCAATCATCCCCTCTCACCCCAGCTTAACAACAAAAACTTGCATTTATATAGCACGCCTCATGCAGGGTAGCATCCCACAAAGCGCTTAATCAAGCTCCACTGTCATTAAGCTTGTTGAGACCCTACTAGCGTGAAGGGTTCTATATAAATACAAGTTGTTGTTTCATGGATAGTTTGTTGATAAATTTATCCACTGCTGTATTTCTTACCCATTACTTCCAATTCATGAATAGGTACATTCTCTGCATGGGAAACAAATCCCAATATGGAGAAGACGGCAAATCCAGCCACAAAGTTTGAGCCACTGCTCAGGAAACATAGCGCCAGACAATCTCTGCAGAAGAAAGAAAATGTTTCAGACAGACGGACCAATAATCCAAAACCTTTATTAAAATCTAATTATTTCATTCTGATATAAGCCACTGGTTTATTATTTATACTGGATCTAATGTGCTGACTTTGTGGGTGAATTTCCATCCTCTTCCCTGCACCAAAAGCTCCTAAAGCAGTTCATCCTTACTCATAATTTTCTGCAATGGTGACAAAGTTGATGGGGAAATTTTTCGCAACCAACCCTTGGAAACAGATCTTGGAATAGGTAATCGGACACTTTAGGGTGAGCTTCATAAAAAAAGGCATTGTTTAAAAATTATTTTTCTGTTTGTCACAGACCATATTTTATCAATGGACACTCAAAGATAAAGCCAATATTTCTGCAGGGCAGGGATTTTTTTTTCTGTCAGCTGGGTGTCTGACCCATGTGGAAAACTTGTTTCATTCCAAGCATCTATAACAACAAAGTCTCAAAGCGCTTTACAAGTAATTGCTGTCAAGTAGTTTTTTGGGTCAGCTGGGTATTTTCACAAATGTGGAACTCCATCAGCATGCTTAAGAGTTTACAGATAAAAATTGAGAGTTCCATTTATATATGCCACTTACTTGGAAATGTCCCTGTGTTTAGAAAGAAATGTACATACTCTCAGCACACTGCTTACCTAATTTCGGAAAGTATTCATGCAGATTGGCAAGAGCCAAGGTTTGTGGAGCAGAGTATGTGTTGAACCAACTAAATCTGCATAGCTTGCCATTGAGAACACTGTCTGGCAAGCTTCATGCTGCTTCCCTATCCCTGAGAGTTTGGACTTGCAAATTGAACAGGAGCTGAGGGGGGTAGAATCCCTACTCCCAGACACCTGGGGACATTGCCCCTTCAGGTACCGATGAGCTGGGCTGACTCGTCTATCAGCAGTGTCCTGGAGCACAATGGTTTAGAATCTGGTTTAGAAATTGGACTTTTGAGACCGCCACACAGGATGGACTCAATTCTGACATTCTAGTGCCACATGCATCATCTTGGAGCCAGCTCAGTTTCAAGTATTCCCCCTCCTCCTGGAGGATCACACAGTGTACACCACTCTTGACTTTCACTTGCTTACTTGGGCTACAGTTTAGTCCTGCTCAATGACTAATGGTCTCAAACTTTTGTCGTAAATGAATTGGACAAAAAATCTTTATCCTAAGTTTGTTTGAAACTTTTCTATTTGTGTGTGTTAGAATTTACACTTTTTGTATAATGTTAGAATCATAATAGGTGTTGCGAACGGGTTAACTTTTAAGTTAAGTGTGTTGTGGGCAGCTGGACTGAAACTCCCTGCACGTACACGAGATAACGAGACAAGGATACGGGAGATGGGCCATCCCGGGCTGCGGAGACAAGGGTACAGAGATCGAAGACTGAGAGCTAGAAACACTAAGACTGAGGATATCAGATGGAAGATTGAAAGCTGTAAGCAAGAAGACTGAAAGCATGAAGAATCAAGCTTGTGTGCTGTAAAGACACAGTGTTGAACTCTTAAATTCGAGATATCTATAGTGGTGTTATTCTGTTACAAGATCTGTTGATTGTACTGGCCTTTGGTCTGACCCATCGGGATATTGGGGAATAACGAACGAATAATAATAAAACAGTCTGATATCTGGTTAGAGGAATTAGCGTTATTTCCTTACAGATTTGGCTGATTTTATTTTCTAACATGTGTATCTTCCAAATTTTTGAAGAAGAATTCATATAAGTTATTTTTAAATGGAATTAGATAGAAACTGGAGGAGAGAAGGAGAGTCAGATGAGATTAGGTGGAGAAAGGCACCAAATGATGAGTGCATGGTCACAACTTTTTCTTCCGGACATTGCAGTCCAAGTTTACTTACGAACTTGCTCTCATAGCCATTTCCTACCTGTAGCAATTATTGTTCCAATGGTTGTAGCTGCTCATGGCTTTCAGAGAGCAGAGAGCTAAGCCAAAGGAGAATATCACATGTCGGCCAGCTTCAAACCACACCTGGGAATTCAGAAACAACAGAAGTGAGGATGTCAATTTCATTCATTGTGAAATATGCGGGGACTGCAATCTGAACTTTTTTTTACAAACAGCACAGATTTATAGGTTATTAAATAGCAATAATCCTTTAATTTCATGTAGTGTCTTTCACGTCAGGAGCACATCTCAAATCACAGTATTAAAGTACAGTTATCTGTGTATTTTACATCTAAATGTAGGCAAAGGTTGATTTCCTAACAAATGTTTTGCTGAGTTTTTTGCACTTTACAACTAATCTGTAGGATGTGTTGAGGTAGCTGTTCTCATCTGAGGCCAATCCTGGATGCTGAAATTGGCCTAAATTACCTCATCATGAAGAGAATTAGGGAATAAGATTCCCATTCCTGATTTCTGCCCTTTTTCTTGTTCGAAAAGGTGTGTGTAAAGGCTTTGTATGTGATGCTCTCCATAATTATATAGCTTACTGATATTCATTGTCAATGATCACAAGTGAGATGGTGAGAAGCTGGAAGTAATTAGCAACCAACATCGTCATTGCTCCTCTACTTCCCAATATTTCTATTTCCCAAGAAATTATCCTACTCCATCTCCTGCACATTCAATTCCATATCTACGTTTTTCTAAGGGGGCAGGACATCCCACAATTGTATTAATCTTTGAGAAAAAATTAATTCCTCCCTCAGTTCTAACCATTTTAACCTTAACTGAAGGCATGCAGAATAAGCTTCAAAAAAGAAAAGTTGTGATGGTACAAATAAATGAAAGCACGCATTGTGGAGAAGAACTAAACATATAAAATTCAAAGCCACAGTGATGCACCAAGGAAAACATAAGGTGTCAGCCTGGCTCAGTTGGAAGTACTCTCACCTCAGTCAGAAGGATGTGGGTTCAAGCCCCACATTGGGACTTCGAGCTCATCAGCTCTCATCCTGGAGTTAAGGGTGGAGGCAGAGAGATACCGTTGGATGTCATCTGCATACATGTGGAAGTTGACCCCACGTCTGTGGATGATGTTACCAAGAGGGAGCATATAGATATTGAAGAGGAGGGGACCAAGGACAGAAGAACACCGCATGAAATGGTACGGGCTCTAGAGGAGAAACCATTTGTGGGGAATGAAGTGGAGGCGATGTGAAAGGTAGGATCTGAACCATTCAAGGACAGAACCATGAAGGGTGAGAGGAAGGCAGTGGAGGAGGATAGAGTGGTCAACAATAATGAAGGCAGCATAGAGGTCAAGTCGGACGAGGAGGCAGAGGATGCCCCGGTCGCAGATGGACAGAATGTCATTTGTCACTTTCACCAAAGCTGTTTCTGTGCTATGTGTAGCATGGAAACCTGATTGGAGGGGTTCGTGAAGGGAGTGGCGGGAGAGGAAGAAGCGAAGCTGGGAAGCACCGACTTGTTCCAGGACCTTGGAAAGGAAAGGGAGGTTGGCGATGGGGCGGTAGTTTGCAAGCAGGAATGGGTACAGGGAGGGGTTTTCAAGGATAGGAGTGAAGACAGCTGTATTTAAAGGGGTGGGAACAGTACCATGGACAGGAGGAGGTTTATGATATCTGTGAGAAGAGGGGCAAGGAGGTGGATCTGGGAGGTAAGGAGAAGGATAGGGATGGGGGTCGATGGAGCAGATGGTCAGTTTCATATGGGTTAAAGTAGAGGTGAGAGAGGAGTGGGAGACACGTTTGAAGGTGTGGAGGGAGGGATGGGTAGGGGCTGGGGTGTGAGGGGGAGATGGGGAAGGGGTAGTAGACAGAAGGGCAGAAGCAGATGATCAGATCCCCTCGACTTTAATTTTGAGGAAGTCCAGCATCGCCTCACAGTTGGAATTGGAGGAGAAGATGGGCGAGGCGTGAGAGGGTGGGTGGAGGTGCCAGTTGGTGTTGGAGAAGAGGAGCCTAGGGTTGTCCTTTGCCTCCAAGATTGTCTTGGAGTAGAACGATAATTTAGAAGAGGTGAGGGTGGAGCGGTTAGATTTGATAAGGTCTAGCCATATCTGCTGGTGCACCATTAAGTTGGATCTGTGCCTTAACTGAGTGAAAGTGGCTGGTGTATCAGGGTGACTTTCGTGAGTAGGAGATGATTCGGGAAGTGAGGGGAGCAAGGGCATCGAGAGTGGTGGGGAGGGAGTTGTGGAGGAGAATGACCAAGGAGAATAGGTTATTGTGGGAGGATGACTCCAAGGCAGTGGAGAGGGGATTGGAGGAGATTTTTTTCCATGGGCGGTAGGAAATGGAGGTGGGTTGGGTGATAGTGGGGAGAGGGATTGAGGAGTTAAGAAAATTAAGTGATTGTCCGAGATAGCTTTGTCTGTGATGGTAAGTTCCAAAACAATGAGACCCCAAGTGATCACCAGGTCGAGGGGTGACCATGGATGTGGGTGGCGGAGTGGAGGGAGAGGTTGAGGGAGGAGAGGAGGGAGGAGACGTCAGCAGAGGTAGAGCAGGAGAGGGTGAAGTGAATGTTGAAGTCGCCTCGGATGAGAAGGCATTCGGATCAGAGTGAGAAGAAAGATAGGAGGGTGGAGATGTTGGGGAGGAAGATGGGGGAGGGCTTATGGGGGCAATAGGTAATGAGAATAATAATACTTGCATTTGATATAGCGCCTTATCATGTCTTCGAGAATCTCGAAGCGCTTCACAGAACATACTGCAAAGTCAATTGACTATATTTTGTGGGCGAAACACAACAACCGATTGTCCCACAAACAGTCGTGGATTGAGTGACCTTTTTTTAAGGAATTATTACCCCCCATAAAGTTAAACATAAAGAAGACAGAAGCCATCCTCCTTGATTCCTATCAATCACCTGCGGTTCTGAACTCAACCTTCTGCGCCCTTCCCTTAAGTCAAGTGTTGTCCAACCTTTTGACTGCTGAGGGCTAGATATTGTATTTTTGTATTTTTGTATTTCCCTTCCAGAAACGCAACCTGTAAGAATCCTTTATAAATCCTATGCATTAAATTGTGTAACTGTATCACTTAATTTCACTACATTTCAGTTACAATGCGAACTTTAAATAGGCCATGTAGAAATTTATACAAATTTCAAAACAACAATACACTTTTATCGATAAAGTACATATATGCAAGAATAATCATTAAATCCAGAATAAACAATGAAAGTGAATAAATAATTAAGTAAATTAAAATGCACATAATGTAATAGTCATAACAATGAACAAAATACTGATAACACTGTGGAAATGTTTCTCTTGAACCAGAGTTGCAATGTCCTGTATATTCCACATCTACCTTTTGTTTCTTACTGAAACTCATAGAGTTGAAGTTTTAGAATTGCAAAATATGCAACAATACCTTTTTAAAATACTCCTGCTGTGCCTCACTTATGTGTTGTCTCTCATGAGGTTTTATGAGGCACAAGGTAGTACAGAGAGTGACTGCAAGAGGGGCAGAGCAAGCTCGTGCTCCACCTCTCTTCTGGTAACTCTCCACGTTGCTTAACTGGAAGATAAGCACAGCTGGGAGGCAAAACAATGAAGCTCGAAATGATTCACATGCTGAATTAAATCATCCCCAGTTTGGATCTGGCCCATGGACCGCCAGTTGGACCATCCTGCCTTAGATCAGCCAAACCTGTATACAATCTTGGCTTCAGGTTTGATCTGTGTTATCCATCCTATCTTACATCCTTTATCTGCCTTTGCCCCTATCTTACTTCCAAAGCTGCTGAAATTCTCATTCACCCTTTTTGAGAAGGGTGGATAGAGTAATAATGGCACTTTGAAGAGGAAGTTACTGTGGTGGATGAAAGGGGGAGGTTGATGATGTTGCCTGGTAAGAGGGAAAGAAGTAGTAGCCAAGTGGATGGAAGGTGTATGAGAAATGGTTTAAAGAGGGCAGGTGGTGAATTTCAAGTGCAAGGTGAGTGAAAAGAGGGATGAGGTCAAAGGTGTGAAGGGTAGAAGGAGTATTGGAGAGAGGAGATGGGGGATGTACAGGAAATGGAAACATAGGAGCCAATCTTTTTAATTACAGACATCAGGTAATTCATAACCTACTGACACAAGTTCCCATACTCCGTTTATTTTTTCCGGCAGCGAAGAACTTTGTGAGAAATGCAGTGTAAATGTCTCAATAGAACATAACTCAAGCACCCTTGTAATTAATTACTCACATGAGGATAAAACAGTGAAGACCATTGAGGGTAGAGGTAGTACTTTATTCCATCTGCAGCTCCTGGCAGTAATACACTTCTGATCAGAATGATGATCAACATCACGTATGGAAAGGTAGCAGTTACGTAGACAACCTGCACAAGAGAAATTATATATCAGAGAAAATTAACACAGAAGCTCATTCGCCTGCTTCAGCTCAATGCTTATGATCCAAGAAATGTCCAGATTGTGATTCTACTCTTACCAATTGGGCAAACAAGCAAGACTTTTTATGTTGAATTCAAAGTAGAAGTAATGTTCCAGCAAAGCTGTAGCAATCTTGTGTGTCAGCCTGACCAAGTCTCGTCTCCATGTCGGAAATTGGATGGTCTCGGCTGATGCTCCAGTGCAGTTCTGGGACTGTGCTCCATTATCGGACGTGCTGTCCTTCAGATGAGACATTAAACAGAGGTCCCATCTATCTATTTAGGGTGGACATTAAAGATTCCATGGCACTATTCAAAAAGGAAAGGGAGTTTTTCCCCCTGTGTCCTGGCCAACAAATCCCCCACATAAAATAGGTCATTCACTTAAGGGCTGTTTGTGGGATATTGCTCTGTGCAAATTGGCTGCCGAGTTTGCCCACAGAATACACAATCACCCTACTTTACAAAAAATCCTGTGAAGCACATTATGACATCCTGACGTGACAAATCCTCTACCAAATGCAAAGATGATGATGTTTATTAATATTAATTTAGAGGTGATTTTTTTTGTTATGGGTTATTAGCAGAAGGAATGGACCAATGTCTACTTTGTCTACCAATATTGAGCACAAGTAGAGCACCAGTTAAATGTACAACACAAAAGCTTACTCAAATTAAGCACTCACAAATCAGGTATAATATAGGGTAGATGTGAAGTTTCCTCAACAATTCTGTTACATTTCAGAATTTTCCTGCTTGATAACCACTCAATTATCAAGCACACTCTTGTTTTTTTATAAGTTGGAATATAACTTAATATGTTTGTGCAAAGTCTTCATCTTATCTCCTAGCCTCTTTTGGAAGATAGAATGAGCTACATTTTACCCCAAATAAACTTACTTACAGGATTGAGTAATACAATCAAGACAGATAGAAGTAATATACTAAGCACAAATAATTTATAATAGGTAAACCCATGTTAGGGGGCTTTGACATATAGCCTTGCTCACTCTGAAGCTGACTCTGCATGCATGTTACTCAGCATCAGGTCAGTGTTGGCTGGAGCCCTCCCTCCTTGTAGTTGCTTCCCTAATTTCCACAAGTCCAGCTCACTGCTTGGTCCTGGACTTCACAAGTGAACTAGATGGGGGTCCCCTTGTGGCTCCAACATGATGTGCTTGATAATGGAATGTTAGAATCAAGTCAAATCTCTGTGGTGGTCTATTTGTCCAAGCCACGTGGGCCAGCAGTTTTCCAGGGCACTGCTGGTTACAGACCAGCCTGGTTTATTGGCAGGACTTGTGAGGGGGTGGAGGGCAATCACTGGAAGCAGAGAATCTACCCGCTCAGTTCCTGTTAACACCGCAAACTAAACCCTAATGGGCGCTCCAGAAACCTTGCCAGAGTTTTTGAATAGTGCCATGGGACTTTAATGTCCAACCTAAACAGTTAGACGGGACTGCTGTTTGTTGTTTCATCTGAAGATTGGCACCTTCGATAATTGAGCACTTCCCCAACACTGCACAGGAGTTTTTAGCTGGTTAAGCAGCAGCAGCATCCTGATTTCACTGAAGCCTTGCCAACCTGCGCCTAATACTTTTAAGCATTACGATGGGTTTCGCATTTGTCAGATGTCATCAACAACAAATTACATTTGTACAATGGCTTTCACGTCAGGAGAGCGTCCCAAAGCGCTGCACAGTCGGGGATTTGGACCTGAGCAGGGGGTTGGGTTCAGGAGGGCTGGAGGGCAGAGAGGGTAGAGGTAGGAGGGTGATCGAAGGTATATGGTTGAAGAGAAGGGTCTTGAGATGTCCCTTGAAGGAGAGGTTGAAGGCTCAACTACTGATGATAGGGAAGGCCAGGAGAGGATGTGGAGCAGTCCTACTGAGAGGACGGAGCGGTCAGGTTGATATGGAGTTAGCAGGTCACATAGGTAGCGAAGAGCAAGGCCATGGAGAAACGAGTTACATAGCGGACTGGGAGAGATGAATAGCAATGTAATAAAGAGTAATCCAGAAAAAGGAGGGATTAGATAGGGGACAAATGCAGAGCAGACTAAGTTGGTCTTGGAGTACATGTGCGTAAATACATGGAGTGTGACCAATAAGATTGGTGAGCTGCAGCCTCAAGTTGCCATATGGGATTATGATGTAGTGGCAATAACGGAGATTTGGCTCAAACAAGGGCAAGAATGGGAGCTGAGTATTCCTGGCTACAATGTATTCAGGAGGAATAGGAAAAAAAGGAGGGATGGCAATATTGATTAAAGACACGGTTACAACCCTGGAAAGGAATGATGTGATAGAGGGTCTAAAAACAGAATCTATTGGTTTAGAGTTAGGAGAAAAAAAGGAGCTGTTACTCTATTAGATGTATACTGTAGACCACCAAATAGTGGTAAGGAGATAGACAAACAAATCTGCAAGCAGAATTTCAGAAAGATGCAAAACCAATAGAGTAGTGATAATGGGGGACTTCAATTATCCTAACATAAACTGGCAAAATAACAGTTTAAAGGGCAAGGAGAGGGAAGGATTCCTGAAATATGTGCAGGATAACTCTCTGGATCAGTATGTTTCCAGCCCAATGAGGAAGGAAGAAGTGCTGGATCTAGTTCTGGGGAATGAAGTGGAGCAGGTTTCAGTAGGAGAGCATTTCGACAACAGTGATCACAACATCATTAGGCTTAGAGTATTTATGGAAAGGGACAAGGAACAATCAAAGGTGAAGATACTCAACTGGAAAAGGGCTAATTTCAACAAATTAAAAAGGGACTTAGCGAACGTCTGGAAAGAAAGATTGGCAGGTAAAACAGCTAACAAGCAATAGGCAGCCTTCAAGGAGGAGATAGTTCGGGGACAGAACAAATACATTCCCACAAAGGGGAAAGGTAGGGCATCCAAACCTACCCTGGATGAATAAGGAAATTGGGCTTAAAATAAAACAGTAAAAAGAGGCTTATGATAAAGAACATAAGAACATAAGAATATAAGAATTAGGAGCAGGCGTAGGCCATTCGGCCCCTCGAGCTTGCCCCTCCATTTGATAAGATCATGGCTGATCTTCAGACCTAACTCTAATTACCTGCCCTATCCCCATATCCCCTAATCCCTCTATTTTTAAAAAAATCTATCAGTCTCAGCCTTGAAGATGTTCAAGGACTGAGCATCTACAGCCTTTTGGGGTAGTGAGAAATGTTTCCTCAACTCTGTTCTAAAAGGCTGACCCTTAATTTTAAGACTGTAACCCCTGGTTATAGATTCTCCTACCAGGGGAAACAGACCCTCGGTGACTACTTTATCCAGCCCTTTAAGAATCTTATATGTTTCAATAAGATCTCCCTTAATTCTTCTGTACTCTAGAGAATACAGCCCTAGTTTATTCAGCCTACCCTCAAAGGTCAGTCCCCTCATCCCAGAAACTAACCGAGTGAATCTACGCTACAACCTCTCTAGGGCAAGTATGTCCTTTTTTAAACACGGAGACCAAAACTGCACACAATACTCTAGGTGCGGTCTCACCAAGGCCCTATACAGTTGCAGTAAGACTTCCCTACTCTTGTACTCTAAACCTTTTGCAATGAACGCTAACATGCCGTTCGCCTTCTTAGTTGCTTGCTGCACCTGCAAACTAACTTTTTGAGACTGGCGTACAAGGTACACCCAAATCCCTCTGAACACTAACACTATCTAATCTCTCCCCCTCTAGAAAATAATCTATTTTTCTACCTAGGTGAATAACTTCACACTTACCCACATTAAATTCCATCTGCACCTACTCGCCCACTCCCCTAGCCTATCTATAGCCCGTTGCAATCTTTTTGCATCATCCTCAGAGCTTACTCTCCCACCTAGTTTAGTGTCATCCGCGAATTTAGATACATTACGTTCAATGTCCTCGCACAGATCATTGATGCAAATTGTAAATAGCTGAGGCCCAAGCACTGATTTGTGGCACTCCACTAGTCACATCCTGCCAATTCGAGAATGACCCGTTTATCCCGACTTTCTGATTTCTACCCGTTAGCCACCCTTCAATCCATGCTAATATGTCTGTCTTTATGTTCCTTGCTAGTTTGCCCTCATATTCCATTTTCTCCCTCTTAATCATTTTTTTGGTTCTCCTTTGTTGATCCCTAAAGTTCTCCCAATCCTTGGGTTTACTACTCATTTTAGCTGCTTAATAGGCTTCTTCCTTTAACTTTATACTTTCCCTAACTGCTCTAGTTAGCCACGGTTAGGCCACCTTTCCCGTGGGATTCTTATTCTTCAAAGGAATACGTGCTCGCTGGGAATTTTGCACTATCTCCTTAAACGTCTGCCATTGCTGGTCTACTGTCAGATCCTTAAGTCTAATTTCCCAGTTTATTTTGGCTAAATCCTCTCTCATACCAGCAAAATTGGCTCTTCTTAAATTTAGAACCTTTGCTTCAGACTTAACTACTTCTTTCTCTAACTTAATGCTAAATTCCATCATATTATGATCACTTTGCCCTAGAGGAGCCTTCATTTCCAGTTTGCTGATGACCCCTGCTTCATTGCACAAAACAAGGTCTAATATGGCCTGTTCCCTGGTTGGCTCCTCGGCATACTGATCAAGAGAATTATTCCTAATACATTCTATGAACTCTTCCTCTATCATCCTTTTCCCAATTTGGTTGTTCCAATCTATGTGCAGATTAAAATCACCCACAATTAATGTTTTTCCTTTACTACATGCTCTGCTAATTTCCTGATTTATACCTTGAGAGATACTGTGACTGCTGTTCAGGGGTCTATAAACTATTCCCACTAGAGTTTTCTGCCCCTTGTAGTTACGTACCTCTACCAATACTGACTCTACTTCCTGCTTTTCTGATTTAAAATCTTTCCTCTCTACTGTTTTTATCCCATCCTTTATTAGCAGGGCCACACCCCCCCTCCTCGTTTACCACATTGCCAATCTTTTCTATACGCCACATACCCTGGAATATTTAGCTCCCACCCTTGATCTCCCTGTAACCATGTCCCGGTGATGGCTACCAGATCATACCCGTTTGTTTCTATTTGTGCATTTAATTCATCTATCTTGTTTCGAATGCTTCGAGCTATGGAAGAAGATCAAAATATACTTCTCAGAATATAAGCTGTTGGGAATGTTTGTGGGTCTGAACTTTGACAAGGACCTTATTGCTTTTGCAATTATAAATTATCGTTTATTGACATTACTTAACACTATGATGTAACAAGGTATCTAAAAGTAATAGAACAACAATATGAAGCTCTCAAAGACTGTCAACCATAGATAACGCTCAAAATTCTACGTTTTAACTCCCCGCTTTTGACAAAGGGTTTTCATGCTAGCTCTTCTCAGAACAAAACAAAAAAAGTAAATGTGAAGAATGTGGATGTCTAAATCTAAGTTGTTGTGGTCTTGCAAAAGTATTTTCTATTGTTTGTTTAAATGACATCCTTCACCCTGGCCCCAGGAAGGCAACAGAGTCTTCTTTTCTCCCTGCTACGGCTGCAGAAAAGTGCGTCAGTCTTCCTGACTGTCTCATCCCCAATTACCACTATATTCCTCCTGACTATTCCCAGTGTAGCCTCCTGAATAATAATAATAATAATAATAATAATAATAATAATAATAATAATAATAATAATAATAATAATAATAATAATAATCCTTGCATTTGGTATAGCGCTTTTCACGTCGGGAGGACGTCCCAAAACGCTTCACAGAACACAGTGTAAAGTGAATTGACTGTATATTTGTGGGCGAACGCGGCAGCCAATTGCGCACAGCAATGTCCCACAAACAGTCATAGATTGAAAATGACCAATTTATTGTTTTTTTGTTTTGGAGGGATTATTATTAGGCGTGAGGAGTAAGGAAACTTGCCCAAGGTTTCGCCCTGACCTGCCGGGAATTGAACTCAGGTCTCTCACTTGCAAAGCGAGTGCTCTAACCACTGAGCTACAGGACTCTGAATAGAGGTGTTGGGGTAAGTTTGCCCATCTTCCTCACAGACTTCCTTGTCCACAGAGGTTGCAGGTATTTCATACCTGTTGGACAAGGTTAAAGCCTGGGGTTCCTCTGCCCCTCTCTTTCGGGTCCCCTTACGCGCCTGTCTGACCGTCACCCAGTCCTGTCTGTGGCTGGCAACGGAATGTTCCCAGGGACTCGTGGGAATGTCTGGCTCCAGGATGAACTGTCCAGGAAGCTCTCCCCATCTCTAATGCTGCGCAGTGTCTCCATCTGAGACTCCAGCTCAGCTATTCTAAGCTGGAGCTTCCTCAGTTGCAGACATTTGCTGCAGATGAAGTCGCCCGGGCTCAGGTTGCCCTCCATTGACTCCCACATACCACATTCCTCACACATCACCTGCCAGATCATTCTCTCCTCTCACTCTATTTATCCCTGTATTATTATCATTTAGAAGATAAACTTCCCCCTCTGCACCTAATTCCCACTCTCACCCAATTCCTTCTCACTCTGGCCTCGCCTCACTCCGGACGTAACTCACTAATGTCAGGTCATACAGAAGATAATCAAATAGAATATAGAAAGTACAGAGGAGAACTGAAAAAGGAAATAAGAGGGGCAAAGAGATTGTAAGAGAAAAGATTAGTGGGTAAAATAAAAGGGAACCCTAAGGTATTTTGTAAACATATAAAGTATAAAAGGTTAGTCAAAGATAGGGTGAGTCCAATTAGGGACCAAAGAGGAAATCATGTGGAGGCAGAAGGCATGGCTAACATATGGAATAAGTGGAGTCCTGTGGCTCAGTGGTTAGAGCACTCACTTTGCAAGTGAGAGACCTGAGTTCAATTCCAGGCAGGTCAGGGCGAAACCTTGGGCAAGTTTCCTTACTCCACACGCCTAATAATAATCCCTCCAAAACCCCAAAACAATAATAAATTGGTCATTTTCAATCTACGACTGTTTGTGGGACATTGCTGTGCGCAATTGGCTGCCGCGTTTGCCCACAAATATACAGTCAATTCACTTTACAGTGTACTCTGTGAAGCGCTTTGGGACGTCCTCCCGACGTGAAAAGCGCTATATCAAATGCAAGGATTATTAAGTACTTTGCATCTGTCTTCACAGAAGAAGAGGATGCAGCCAATGCCACAGTATCGGAGGAGAGGGAAGAGAAATTGAATAAGATAAAAATAAACTGGCAGGAGGTACTAAAAAGGTTGTTGGTGCTCAAGGTAGAAACGTCACCTGGTCCGGATGGGATGCATCCTAGGGTCCTGAAGATAAACCTGGGAATTACAGGCCAGTCAGCCTAACGTCAGTAGTCTAGAGACTATAATCCGGGACAATAATTTTTAATTTAGAAAAATATGGGTTAATTAAGGACAGCCAACATGGATTTGTGAAAGGCAAATCATGTCTACCCAAACCTGATAGAATGTTTTTGTGAAGTAATGGAGGGTGGATGAAAGTAGTGCAGTTGATGGAATTTCTTTGGATTTTCAAAAGGTGTTTGATAAAGTCCCACATAAGAGGCTTGTAAGCAAAATAGAAGCCTACAGTAATAAAGGGACAGTGGCAGCATGAATACAGAACTGGCTGGGAGATAGAAAACAGAAAGTGGTGGTGAATGATTGTTTTTCTGCCTGGAGTGAAGTGTGCAGTGGTATCCCCCGGGGGGCGGTATTGGGACCACTGCTGTTTTTGATTTATATAAATGACCTGGACTTAGGTATAGGGAGTACAATTTCCAAGTTTGCAGATGATACTAAGCTAGGAAAAGTAGTAAACGGTGAGGAGGATAGCAGCAGATGGACATAGATAGGCTGGTAAAATGGGCAGACACGTGACAGATGAAGTTTAATGTGGATAAATGCGAAGTGATGCATATCTGGAGGAAGAATGATGAGAAGCAATATGAGCTAAATTGTACAACCTTGAAGGGGGTGAAGTAACAGAGAGACCTGGGGATTCATGTAAGTAAATCTTTGAAGGTGGCAGGACAGGTACATAAAGCTGTTAAAAAAACATACGGGACACTAGGCCTTATAAATAGCGGCAAAGCACACAAAAGTCAGAAAATTATGATAAACCTTTATTAAACACTGCTTAGGCATCAGCTAGAGTACTGTGATCAGTTGTGGGCCCCACACTTTAGGAAGGTCAGGGCATTGAAGAGGGTGCAAAGGGGATTTACCAGAATGGTACCAGGAATGAGGGATTTCAGTTATCAGGAGAGACCAGAGAAGCTAGGATTATTCTCCTTGGAGAGAAGTTTTCAAAAGGGGATTTGATAGGTGAACAAGGAGAAACTATTTCCACTGGCCGGGACCCGAAGTCGGTCACCTGAGGACACCGATTTAAAATAGTTGTTAAAAGAAACAGTGGGGAGGTGAGGAGAAATTTTTTCACACAGCGAGTTGTTCGGATCTGGAGTGCATTGCTTGAAAGGGTGGTGGAAACCAATTTGGTAACAACTTTTAAGAGAGAAGTAGATAATTATTTGGGAAGGACAAGTTTGCAGGGCTATGGGGAGAGCACAGGGAGTGGGAGTGGATCTCATTCAGTCACTCAGACCAGAATACGTCAGGGAATATCACTTTTCAATCTTCTTTGTTAGTCCAGTATAGTTTAGTTCACTCAGCACTTTATGGTCTCACCTTACTGATAGTCTTGATTCCCTTCCAGATGCAGAAGTAACAGATGGTCCAGGCTGCAAGAAGAGAGAGGGCCAGCGTCCAATTGATAGTGCCGATTTTCTCAATTCCACTTGAAACTTTCAGGACACGATTCCTGCATATACCAAAAGTCAGCAATGAATATTTGTGAGTTGAAGAGTGAGCTGAGCTTTAGATTCCTGCAAGAGCAATATCTGGTGAGTAATACATCTATATTAATATGTGCTATGTTTTTACTACCAGGCTATGGAGAATAAGTCTATCTCAGATCTTAACACATCATTTCAAAACCTATGCTTCAGTGCAGAACTTTTTCCTCAGTTCAGAAAATATGCCCAATTGTAGCATTTGCTCCCTTAGCTAGAACTTGCACCCAACTCAGAATCCTCACCCTATCTCAGAATCTACACTCATATCAGAACCTGGGCCCATATTAGAATTTATGCCCATATCAGAACCTATGCCATTCATAAAACAACGCTCCATCTTAAAACATGCACCCCATCTTAGAACCAATGCCCCACTTCAGATCCTGCACCTCTCAGTATAGAACTTGCGCCCCATCTCAGAACCTGCCCCTCAACTCAGAAGCTATGCACCATCGTAGGACCTACTTTTCATCTAAGAAGCTGCACCTATCTCAGAACCTGCTCGGTATCTCAGAAGCTGCACTTAATTTCAGAAGCTAAGCCCCGTTTCAGAAGCTGAGCCCTGTTTCAGAAGCTGAGCCCCGTTTCAGAAGCTAAGACCATCTCACAAACCATGGACCATCTTCTCAGAACTAATAGTAGATATGAGAAAAGACCATTTTGGCTACCAGTGGAGTCCTGTAGCTCAGTGGTTAGAGCACTCGCCTTGCAAGTGAGACACCTGGGTTCAATTCCAGGCAGGGCGAAACCTTGGGCAAGTTTCCTTATTCCATCTAATAATAATTCCTCCAAACCAATAATAAATTGGTCATTTTCAATCTACCACTGCTTGTGGGACATTGCTGTGCACAATTGGGTGCCGTATTTCGCCAACAAATATAGTCAATTCACTTTACAGTATATTCTGTGAAGTGCTTTGAGACGTCTAGAAGACGTGAAAAGCGCTATATCAAATGCAAGGATTATTATTATTATTATTCCACTGGTCCAATAACTTTCCCACTCTCGTGATAAATTGTATTGCGTTATACTCACGCCCAGAACTCAACTTCAGATGATGACCATTGTTGAGAATCATTATTCGTGCAATTCTCTACAATTGAGAGAAGAGAAACATTTTTTAAGGCTTGGTAGACTATTTATTGCACAAAAAGAGCCTTTAAATAGATGCAGTGTGAACTCACTGGAAATTTCCAAAGCAAAATAAGTTTCCAAACAGTATCTTTACCCAGATGAGATTAGCTGAGCACACTTTGTCTGCTCCCTGCCAGATGGTCCTGAACAATGATCAGAGCTACATTATATGCACCATTTGTATCTATTCCTCTTCCAAATACTTGGTATCCAGTTGTCATTGTTGTGCTAAAGCTGCAGAGTGTGGCAGAGACCCAACCTCAGGAATAGATTTGCAGTCCAAAATGAGAGAGTGAAATACATTATTGTGATATCTTTCTGTCATACTGATTATTTTTACACTTCTCAGATTGATCCGCATCTTCCACTTATCAACTCAGCTACCAAATAGATTCAAATCCTTCATCATTCGCTCCACCTCCTATTTTAGGGAAATCCCCGGATTTGGAAACTATGCTTACCATCTTCCTAAAGTGCTTATGAGAGAAGAAAACAATAGTAACAATAAATTGCACTTAATGAGTGCATTTCACATCAGAAGGATATCCCAAGGTGCTAGATAGGGAAGTGTTTGCACCCCAGCTGTGGTTTTGAATCAAGAGGGGTGGAGGGCAAAGGGAATGGAGGCGGGAAGATGACTGAAGGCACGGTCGAATAGGAAGATCTTGAGACAGGGCTTGAAGGAGGCAAGGGAGGGGACAAAGCGGAGGGCTCCAGGATGCAGTTCCATTGGGTGGGGGCAGGAAGGCTGAAAGTCTGCCTGCCGATAGTGGAGCGGATAGGGACCTGCAGTGGACACAGAACTGGCAAGTGCCCGCCGAGTGGAGGGAGAGAACATATTGGTAAAGGTTTAGTAAAAAATGCTGGAGGAACAAAAGCTGCTTGCAGCTACGATAACAATTGTGCCTTCAAAAAAATTACACAGTGAAGGCAGCACACAGGTACATAGTATTATATTCCTATGGGGAAGATGATATAAGAGGATATAAGTATTGAGACCGAAACAAAGGAATCAAGTTATGAGACTCAACACGAGGAGAGAGGGAGACAAACGATGAGGTACAATCTGAAAGGATCACAATGGAGGAGACAGATATAGAGGGGGTGGCCGGAGCAGTCATTAAGAGTTTTGAATATAGTTCATTTACGTTTGTAAAGTGCACACAGTTCTGGCTATGGCGACATAAGAGTTCTGAGGCAGTGCAGAGGAAAACAACGAGGATGATCTTTAGTGTCAAAGGAATGAACTACATGTAATCATTAGACAAGTTTCTCTCAGTCTTGAGAGAACATGACTCAGAGGGGATCTTATAGCAGTGTATAAAATTTAAATGGGATTGAAAAAGTAAACCTACAACAATACTTTTAGCTCCACCAAGACAACAACAAATTATTTTTTTTACAGCAGAAGAGCACATAAGTTTCGTGTTGCAAAAGTAACTTCAGCACAGATACCAGGAAGTGGTTTTTACTCAGAGGATAATTAATGACTAGAACAATTTGACAGGAAGGGTGGTTGAGTCAAGTCAATGGACGCATTTAAAAAGTAGCTTGATGCTGTGACGGGAAGGTGATATTGTGACTATTCTGACAGGATGAGATCAGATGAGCCAATGCATTTCTTCATCTTGTGATCTATTGAATTTGTTGACTCACCACTATTGAATTTGTTGACTCATGAACACATCGGTAATTATTGTTTGCATAATGGAAATGAATAACAGCAAGAATATTGATCTGCATGAAGGAACTTTGTTGAAAAATTAAATTGTGAAAAACAATTAATTTGCAAATAATTTACATTTCAGTAAATGGCAAAAACAAAGAGTCAAATTTTATCCCGCACCTGGGCAACAGAATGACTGAATATGGGGAAGTAGAGCTTTTGTTTACCATGGATAATGGCTGTCCTCCGAGAGGGTGTCTTGGAGTAGGGGAAGTGAGGTAGGGTCTTCTTGGACTAGCGCCGACATGCCAAGCCATGGGATATCAGAATCAAACCCTCAGTCCTCTAATGACTGAGTCAAGCATATCTGATGACAGACCAAACTTGGAGTGATGGACCCTTCTTTGGGAGCAGGGATTCTTCCTACCTGTCTTCTGTTCACCTTGAAAATCAAAACCCCAATGTTTGGGTAGTGATAGCAGAACAAGCAGTAGAGGAAGCTTTCTAACAGTGTTTGCAACTATGTGGTTTCAGCTTATCAAACTACAGCAGATACTAATGTGCACTTGAGGCTGCAAGTCTTGTTTCTCTCCAACCTGCGCTTATTACTATTTGGATTTAGGTAAGCAGGGTGAATCCCTCTGGGGAAAGAGTGTGTGTTCCATTCTAAAAATATGCCAATTTCCATGTATAATTGGCAGACATCTGTGAAACAGTATGGTTTGAATACACTTAAGCATGGCGATCGGTTTTGGCCAACCAAAAGAATTTCACAGAATTTCTTGACTTTTTATTTTTTGATTACCTGTGTTCCATTCATTGTTACAGTCAGCCCATGGCATCACAGAGACAAAGGAGTTGCAAAGATAGAAGATCAACCAAGCTATGAACATAATGTTATAAATATTCAGGTAGATGATAGACACCAGAGATGAGTAGCCAATGCCTAGAAAGAGATGAAAAAAAAAACATTTGTGAGGAAATACTGAATGATGTGTTCTTTGTAGGTCATGAGAAAGCCCATTACAAACACATAGCAAATCACCATCAGTGAGCAGTGTACGATAGGTTCAACTAATTGTGAAGCATAAAAGGTTTTTCATAGATGTCAGCTTGGTTCATTTAGTTGCACTCTGGATCATAATTTGCAGTTTTAAATCGCATGTTGGGAATTAAGTTCAGACATCTCGACTCTCAACCTAGAGGATGCTGGGCTATATTACTAAATTAGTTGAGTTTAGATGCCCAGATGTCATTTTCAGGCTGTATAGTGTCATGGTCATGCTACACCTTGGTTCTTGAGTTCAGTTCAGGGTTGCCAAGACATAAGGGGCCTCAAGGAACTTGCATAAAAGGAGAGCAATGAGAATGATCCCCAATTAGGGGAATGAGCTATGAGCTGGGCCAATAGAAAAGTGTGGAAATATTTGCAAAAATTGACGAGAAATTTGCTACGTTTTGGGGAAAAATAAGGGAAGCATTTTGCTGTTAACCTTCTCTTTTCTCATTTTTAAAAGCTAAACCTGAAGAAATAACACATCATAACTTATTGGGAAAAGAAACAATTTATCAATGTTTCTTTGATAAAAACAGAACATAGCATCTTTCAAAACATGCAAAAGTGCCATTTCAACACTGTTTGCAGAGAAATTAAATTTTCAAAATCAAATTTTCACAGAAACAAACAAAAAATTCTCAGCCGAAGGTTTAGTGTCGGTTAAATTTTAACATGAAAAGAATCTTCATATTTTATTTTGTTAGGTTTTGTCTATTATCTTTCATGAGGTGTGAATAAACAGAAAATAACCTTTCAATGTCAGCTGTGCTCACTGACAGCCAAATGTACCATTTTGCAATTTTTGCACGTTTCACAAGTGGCTCAGGCTGAGGTCCCCACCATGCTGCTATTTTGTAGTTAGCTGGCATATTTTCTCCAGCTGCTTTATAAGCATGCCTTTCAAAGTTTGAAAGGGCAGGAATCACATTACTATATGATTCTGTTTCTGTATCCGTTGTTGCTAGCTGGTGAGTATCAAAAATACGACTACTTTATAGGTCAGAATTTGATGGAGGCTTTTTCAAAATCAGTCCCAAATTTTCACTGCTGTTTTGCATGATTATCTGGAAAAGGTTGACACATGGCTCTCTCTCACTCTCAGAACAGTTTGCCAACTTTTCCACTGTCGTTGATCTGTACTCCTGTACTCCAGCAGTGACACAGAAATCACTAAACCTTTCTTTTCAATCGTGCCTTTGGTCACCTTCCTCCCCCTCCCTCTGGCTCGGCCCTGGAATCCGTTATTGTGAAGCGCTCTGAGATGCCGTCCGGCGTGGACGGCGCTATATAAATCCAAGTTGTTGTTGTTCAACAAATGTCAAGTTTGCACCCATAAGTACAGATTGTGGCTCTGAGGCATAGCTGTTGCCTGACATCCTTCATTGAGTTTTATGAGCTAAGATAAGTGCTCTGTGACAAAGGTTGCTTAGGATTTCAACTCTGCAGCATTATTGTTCAAGAATGTTTTCAAGAGTGTTTTTCTGAGAGCCAAGGTTGGAGCTTGCAGTTTGCTCAGGCATCAGGGCTGGAGTTTGCAGTGTTGATGTTTGTCCAGCAACAGGAGTGCAGGATCCTGGTTACTGTTCCATAATGTAAACTCTGCTCTATAACAGTCCAATGCAGTTTGGATGGTTGCAGTTTCTGAATAGATATGTGGGCATATGTAATGAGAGCCATTTGCTCTCTTCACAGAGTAAACTATACTCTAATTGATATGAGTTTGAGAAATAAACAACATTTCATGCTTTTCTTACCTTCAAACATTGGGCACATCTTTTGCCAGGCTGTGATTGTACCCTGGCCGGAGTACTGCCCAAGAGCAGTTTCCAGCAAAAATAAAGGAATTCCTAAGATGAGGACGAATATGAAGTATGGAATCAGAAACATAGCTGTTTGGGGAAAAAAGGTAAAAGGTCAAAAGATTGTGGTTTCAATTTCAGCTAGAATTTTAACTCCCAGCTTTGACTGACATATTTACCATGCAGTAGATAATTATAATGATTCTAACATTTCATGGCAGGGAGAAGTGTCAAAGTGCTTCACAGGGTAATAATGATAATACTAATCCTTGCATTTCATATCACATCTTCTAGTATTCTCAAAGCGCTTCACAGAATATACTGTGAAGTGAATTGACTGTATACTTTATAGGCAAAACGTGGCAGCCAATTGCATACCACAGTGTCCCACAAACAGTCGTGGATTAAGTGACCAAATTATTATTTTTTTCCTGAATGATTATTATCAGATATGTGGATTAAGGAAACTTGCCCAAGGTTTCGCCCTGCTGGGAATCAATCCCAGGTCTCTTGCTTGTGAGGTGAATTCTCCAACCACTGAACTACAGGACTCCGGGTATACTGTAAAGAGTTATGACTGTGTGTTTGAAGGTAGACTAATCTGCCAATTTGCACACAGCGATGTTACTCAAAGGAGTGTCAGCTTCGACCATGATCTCAAATTCCAGATGTGAGGTTTAAACACACAACCCCCTACACAGAGTTCTATTAACTGAGCCAGGCTAACACCCAAGCACTATATTGAAGACCTCTGCCTCTTTTACTGTGCTAATGCTCATTTCCCCCCAACCCCACTCTTCTTCGCTCCAGATCCAACCCTGCCAATCTGATGTTTTATCTCAAACCTACTCTCTATCCACAGCAGTACCTGCTGCTTTTGCTCTACTGGGTCCAGCTTCCTCCGCTCCACCATCGGCGGCCTTCAACCACTATGCCCCGAAATTTTGGAACTCCCTCCCTCAATCCCCATCTTCAGGTTGCGCCTGAAGACCTTCCTCTTCAATCCCACTGGCTCAGCCTCGGGCTCTGCCATTGTTAAGCGCTTTGATACGCCGCACAGTGTGGAGGGTACTATATAAATGCAACTTGTTATCGTTGCTACAAGATTCTATCTTGCATGAAGGACAATACATAATGCAAGTTGTTGTTGTTCTTGTCAGTATTGTATTTTGGATGAAATGTTAAACTGAGGTTTTGTCTACCAACAACAGGTGGGTTCTCAACATTCCGCGTCATTATTCAAAAAGAAAAGTGAGTTTCACGAGTTTCACCCTATGTCTTGGCCGTCATGTGGAGTCCGGTAGTTCAGTGATTAGAGCACTCGCCTATCAAGCGAGAGACCTGGGTTTGATTCCCAGCGGGACGAAACCTTGGGAAAGTTTCCTTACTCCACATGCCTGATAATAATCTCTCAAGNAAAAAAAACAATAATAAATTGGTCACTTCAATCCACGACTGTTTGTGGGACACTGCTGTGCGCAATTTGGCTGCCGCATTTCGCCCACAGATATACAGTTAATTCACTTTACAGTATATTCTGTGAAGCGCTTTGAGACATCTAGAAGACGTAAAAAGCGCTATACCAAATGCAAGGATCATTATTATTATTATTATTATCATCCAACTTAATTGTGTCATATTTGTTTGTAGGATCCTATATTTGCCAAAATAAGAGCGATTACAATTGATATTAATTGCTGGTGAAGCAATTTGAGGTGCATAAGGCATTGTAAAAAGCACTGTGTATGTTTACCATCTTGAATATGTGGGAATCCATCAGTTTACTTCTGCCCACTTTCATTGTGCTTTTTGTGGAAATTAATTGAAAAAAGCCTAATGTAAATAAATAGCTGTTGTGAAGTGTTCAATTATGACGATTTCTGGTGCTGAACTGATTAATATAAAAGCATCCTGCTGAGATTTTCTTCTGTTCTGAAGAAACTCTAATACAGTTAATGTCAAAAGCTTCCAATTAATTCCAGTAATACCTGGGATTGGAGGCATGGAGTCAGACAACAAAAGAGCAGTTCACAATGTCAGGCTGAGAAGTCTATACTCTGCTGGCACAATGGGGTGGAGCAGAGTAAAGAATGTAGGTCGCTGACATGATATGTTGCACAAGCATTTGTGGTTAAATTGAGATGTGCACAAACCCCAGTTTTCTCTTGAGAGTGAAACCCATTATGCAGCGTGAAAGACACATGTACATTTCCTGCTTTCCAATGTGTACTGTAGATACTGGAGTTTTGCACTGAGTTAGTGAGCATGTGATTAATATAAAGAGATCAATTAAGCATTCAAGAAGGTTCGGAGTAATTAAGCAGATGGGCTAGAAATTAAACCCCTTTTTTATACAGATAATTTAAAAATATTGGCTAAGAATTTAACAACAGGAGAGATCATTTAGCTTATCAAGCCCATTCATCATAAACTATGTCAAATGCAAGGATTATTATTATTGTACCACAAAGTGCAACCACCTTCTCTAATCCCATTTCCCTTTCTTTTCATCATATGCTTTTGTATTTTCAAGTTTCTGCACAGCTCTTTCTTTAAAAAAAAGTATTTTGAAACCCTTAAGAGGGTTAAAGCCTGATATTTGCTGGAAGTTATGAGGAGAAGCTTACAGACAACAACAACAACTTGCATTTATATAGAGCCTTTCATGCAGGGTAGATTCCCAGAGAGCTTAACTGTGTTTAGATGAAAGAAAAGAAGATTGAGGGGAGGTGTGACCCAAATCTTTGTGGAGGGAGCCAGGCCAGAATGGTGTGGTGGTCATGCATTATTCTGGATCTTGTGGTTAATTTTCTTTGGGGATAGCTCTGCAGCCTCCTGTCACCCAAATACTGGCCATTCCCTCTGCTCAGCAAACACCAATCTATTTTATATCCTCAGCCCAATCAGTCCCACTAATGGTAGGTGCGTTTTTAGCTATTCTCATCCCGGAACACCCCTGCCTTATTCCCTTCTTTGCCACTTTCAAAACCCACCTTAACACCAATCTTTTCAACGTCCTCAGGCATGCCTAGCCTCTAGCCTGGGCTCCCAGCATGAATCACTTCCAGATGTCCTCCCAATGTGAAATGTGCTATATACATGTAAATTGTAATTGTACTTGATAGGTCTGAAATAGCCCTTTTCCTGTGCAATTTTTTCTTCTCCCCACATGAAAGTATTTTGACTAATTTTACATGGTTGTTGAGGACCTAAATGGCATATGTGAACCTTTTGGGTCATTCAACTGCAGGGGTATTACAGCTGGGTCCTATCCTATCCAAGTGCTATCTTGTCTTCAGCTATCCATGTAGACATACACACACCTTCCAGCAGGGATGATCTTGATTCAATCAAGAGTAGATAACTGGCTCCATTTTTCCCTCCCTCACCAAAGGGAGATGAGACCAAGTTCATTCCCAACTGCTATCCTAGCTAACATCAGGCTAACACAGCAAATATATTATTAGTCCACATTAGTCCAAGAAAAAAAGAGCGAAAAATATGAGATGTACATCACCAGATTAGAGTGAATAATTGGTGTGCAGTATATGTACTGGGGCTTTCAGTGAGACACTCATGAGGTTTAGGGATCATATTCAAGTCTTTGTTTTGCAGGTTTGACAGACATTTAAATGAATCATGGCAGTTTTCAATGGTGAACTGAAGCTTTTCACAGCTCTCCTTTGTAAGAGAGGAACGAAAAATCTAGTGTGACCAGTCACAGGAAACAATATGTTGTTTGATCCATGGAGTAAAGATGATTTCCATGAAGAGGTCCAGATTGGGGAAAGAAAAGCTCAGAAACAGCAACAGGAAGACACAAAGAAAGAATTTATCAGAAAGCCATGTGTGTTTTTCAAATCATGTTTCTCATTTGTTCATTGAAGCTCAGCCAAGCACTAGCCTCAAAAAACATCCTTAATGTTCTTTCAGAGAAAAACTCACTGTTCTTTGCCAAGTTTTTTTTTAATGAGACTTCTATTTCATTCCAGCATTAAGAATCTGTCAACTTTCTTCTCAAGACAAATTGGCAACAGTTCATTGAAAGATCCCCAGAATGAAACAAGCAGGAGAATTGCCACTCCATTTCTATTGCTTGTGAAATAAACAAACCAATGCCATCCTCCCAATCATGCTGTTGGGATAACAGCCATTTGATATAACACCTTTCATGTTGGGAGGATGTCTCAAAGCGCTTCACAAAACATACTGTAGTGTGGAGTATGTATTTTGCAGGTGAATACAGCAGCCTCTGTAAAACAGGTAGATGGGAACTCAGTTTAACAAATCATCTGAAGGATGGCACCTCTGGCAATGCAGCACAACAGCAGCACTGCACTGGAGTGACAGCCTAGGAAACATTTGGTAGGTGAATTGCCTCTTGGTAAACATGGTTGAAAAAGCGTTATAACTAGAGAACTTTAGCGTAAGGGCAACTGTCACGTGGTTATCATTGTGAGAGGAGGTGGGGGATGGGAAGTAAGCAGGGTCTGCGTGGATCTGAGCTGGTGACATTGATTGGCTGTGGAATGTTAAAATCAAGTCAATCTTCTGTGGTGATCTTACAGATCCTCAGCAAGGCGGTGCCACAGTACTCCAGGACACTGCTGATGACAGACCAGGCACCATGTCTTATCAGCTGGACTTGCAAGGGCAGACCGGTCACTGGGAACAGGGATTCTTCCCACTCAGCTCCTGTTAACCCTGCAACCCTAATAGGTTGGCTGATCTGAGCTGGATAAGTAAGGGGAAGCTTGCTAGACAGAGCTTTGAATAGGAAGCTACGTGGTTTTAGCTGGTTAAATTCCAGCAATACACTAATGTATCCTATGGGGTCCCCAACTCTTGGGTCTTACCAAACTGTGCCGAATATTCACCAGAATTAGATAAGCAGGGACTTCCCTTTGGGGAAAGAGTGTGCGTTGTATTTCAGGCATAGAAAATTCCATATGGAATTGGCATGCATCGAACTCTGTGGTTTGAATTCTCTAAAACATGGTTTCCTGGGCTTTTGATGAAAATTAACACTTATATTCATGCTACAAATGCACCAAAAAGAAAGGCAAGGATCCCTAAAATTGTTTCTATTATTGTGTCTTATAATAATAATAATAATAATCCTTGCATTTGATTTGTGCCATTGCTTGATATTTTGACCACTGGGCCTGATGGCATAATGTTCTTTTACTTTCTTTCATATCTGAAAGATCTCAGTGAAGTAAATTATATCATTTGTGTATTTTAGGCAAACAGTGAGCATTCCTAGTTTGATCAAACACGGTTAAATGCAAGGTAAAGCTTCCTGTCAATGTCTTACCATAATAATAGCAATAATAATCCTTGCACTTGATATAGCATCTTACCCATCATTGAGACATCCCAAAGCGCTTCACAGAATGTACTTTGAAGTGATTACCTTTTATATTTTGTTGGTGAAATGTGGCAGCTGATAGCACAGAGTAGTTGTATTATACATTGGTCAATATACCAAAACATCCCGAGGTGATAGTCAGTATATTTCAACAATGTTCGGTCGCTGCTGTCAATATACGAATGTATCCCGAGGTGATAGTCAATATATTTGACAAACAGTCGTAGATTGAGTGAATTTTTTTTTGAAGAGATTATTATCCCTGGAAAGCGATTCACCAATTGATTAATAACTAGGTTCCTACTTACTGCTAGGTAAACAGGGGCATGTGGCGTAAGGAAACTTGTCTAAGGTTTCGCCCTGCCCGGGAATCAAACCTGGGTCCTCTGGCTTGAGAGGAGAGTATCTAACCAATATAATAATAATAATATGCTTCAGGACTCCATAAAGCTTTTCCAGGCCAGATATAGATCAGGTGAAGCTCTCCTGAACTGGGGTTATGTACACACTAGTCACATTTTTGCAGCAAGTCCTAAACTCTGATGCTGAATTCCTTACTCTAAGCTCTCAAACAAATAAAAACCTTGACAAAATAGCTTTGCACAACACCCCCTTCACATTGCAGGGAATCATGGCTCAGAGCCCTGAACTCACCTGGTCATAAACAGGATTAAACAGGTTTACAAATTAATTTTCTTGATACAAACCTCCTCCGTAACGGAAACAAAGTCCAGGGAACATAAAAATTGCGTCGAAACCAATCATGCTGCCACCCACAGAGAGAAGAAACTCGAATTTATTATCCCATTGTCCACGTTTGTTTATCTCTTTTTTCTTTTCTTTTCTTTGTGTACCAGGATCCTCAGACAAATTTGTTCCTCCGCATACAACATCACCCAGCTGCATCTCAGTCATTTCACTGGATACTCGTCTGCCAGGGAGAAGAAACATCAGCAAACAGAAAGCAAGGATATTTCAAACTACAAAAGAAAACAAATTCAATTCATTTTTAAAATTTTACAAGTTTGTTTGCAGGAAACAAAAATGATGCCAAATGTATGCTTCTTGGTTTCATCATGTTTAGGCTTGACAATGTTAATTCCCTGCTTGCTGGACATCCCAATTCTTCCCTCCACACGATGACCTGCCCCAAACTCTGTGTGTCAATCAACCCCATCCTTGACCAGCTTCACTGGCTCCCGTCCCCCAGAGGATTGAGTTAAAGATCCTCATCCTCACTTTTAAAGTCCTCCATGGACTTGCTTCTCCCCACCATACTTCCACATGTGGGCGGATGACACTGGACTCTATCTGTCTGACTCCACCCTCGACTCCAGAACCCTCTTGATGATATCATCTGCAGACACAGGGTAAACCTCCACAAGTATGTGGATAATACAGAAATCTACTTCTCCAGCTGCGACTCTGGATCCGCCGATGTTCTGTTGGCTTGTGTGGCAGACATCAAGGGCTTGGATGAGCGCAAATATCTTGCAACTAAATGTTGACAAGATGGAAGCCATATTCCTTGGCTTCCATCAACATCTTCTATCCTGCGGCTCTGACCTCCTCAACCTCCATGGCCTAGCCCTCAGACTCACTGATCTGGCATGCAACCTAGGCATCAGGTTTCACCCACAGCTTTCCTTCCTTCCCCACATCCGGTCCCTGTTCACTGTCCAGGACCGTCTTCCTCCATCTCCGCCATATTGTCCGCCTCTAACCTTAGCTTACCCGAGAAGTAGCCAAAACACTTATCCATGCGTTCATCACCTCCACTCACTATTCAAATGCCCTCCTCACCGGTCTTCCCAACTCAGCTATCCACAAAATCCAGCTAATCAAAAACTCCACCACCTGCATATTCACCCGTACTGAACTCTGTACTCCCATCACACCAGTTTTAGCCAGGCTCCGCTGGCTCCTTATTGTCAAACAGATCAAGATTTCAAGATTCTCACACTTGTTTTCAAATCCTTTCATGCCCTCTCATCTCCGCACTCTCTAACATGCTTACCTCCCAAATTTCTACCCGCTGCCTCTACTCGACTATTCTTCTGCATGTCCCCCGTGTCCTCCGTTCCACTATCAGTGGCCGTGCTTTCAGCCACTACACCCCAAAAGTCTGGAATACACTGTCTCTTTCACTCCAGCTTGCCCCTTCCTTTCTCATCTTCAGATCGCACGTGAAGACCTTCTTCTTCCTCCAGCTTGACGATGTTCTCTGCCACTGTCAACCACTCTGGGAGGCTACCTTTGTGAGGGGCGCTATAACCCTCTACAAGCTACAAGCTGTTGTTGTTGTTGTTGTCCCCTGCTATCTGTGTACCAACATCATTGGCTAAGCCTTTTGTTTCTACGTCCCTAACCTCTAGTAACCTCTATCACTCTGTTTTGCACTCTTTGTAATGTTTCCCAGTTATTGTGAAATTTGTTTTGCACATCTGGACAACAGTGTTTAGGCAGGATTTGAAAGTGGGGAGGAAGGGAACAAAGTGGAGGGATTGAGGTAGGAAGTTCCAGAGCTTCAGTGCATAGTGGCTGGAGCGGAGGGGCGAGGGACAAACAGGAGGCCGGAGCCGGCTAAGCGGAAGCAATAACAACAACAAAATTATTTTTATAAAGTGCCCTTCATGTTGGGAGGATACCAAGGCATTGAACAATCAGGACCTGAGTGTGGGGGACAAGATTCAGATGAGGGAGGGCAGAGGGGGCAGGAGGGTGTTTGAAAGCACGGTCAAAAAGGAGGGTCTTGAGTCGGGCCTTGAAGGAGGCAAGCGAGGGAGCAAGGCAAAGGGATTGTGGGATGGAGTTCCAAAGAGTGGAGAGGCTGATGGTAGGATGGGTCAGGCGAAAGACCTGGAGAAGGCCGGAGCCTGTTGAGCTCCGTTCCTTTGGCTCCAGTCTGCTCCACATCCCCCACCCCAACCGCCCTACCAGCCTCTCAGCCCCTAGGCTCTGGAACTCCATCCCCCAGTGCCTTTGCCTTGCTTCCTCCTTCAAGGCCGGTCTCAAGACTTTTCTCTTTGACCGTGCCTTCAGCTCCCCTCTCGACTCTCTACCCACTCCTCGCTCCCTCCCTTCCCTTCCCTCACCCTGACCATTTCCCCCCTCCTCGCTCCCTCTCTTCCCTCCCATCACCCTCACCCTCACCATTTCCCCCCCAATGCTCGGGTCCTGACCCAACTGTCCAACGCCTTGGGACGTCCTCCCGACGTGAAAGGCGCTCTATAAATGGAATCTTGTTGTTGTTGTTGTTGTTGTTGTTGTTGTTATTGGTAGTTAAAAGGCAGGGATAGAGGCAGGGAAATTTATTTCAGCATGGTGGTGATTGTAGCTTTTTTCGGGGAATGGTGCCAGATGAAAGGGAGAGATTGATGGTGTTGGAGAGTAGAGGGGGGAGGAGGTGAAGCTGGGAGGTAAGGAGAGGAGTATGGATGAGGCCAAGGGAGCAGGTGGTATATTTTATGCTGGATATGGTGGTGATGAGAGAGGAGGGGTTCAAAAATGTGGAGGGAGGGATGGGTAGGCGTCAGAGTGTGGGGGAGATGGGGAGGGAGTGGCAGTTGGGAGGGCAGAGGCAACTGAATGGAACCCCTTGATTTTGGACTCAAAGAAAACCAGCATCTCCTCAGAGTCAGAGCTTGAGGAGAGAATGGGCGAGGCATGGGAGGGTGGAGCATAGGCAGTGGGTGGTGGAGTGCGGGGTAAGCAAATTGGATAGGTAAAGTGGTGTGAGGGAATAAAGTGATTTCAAAACGAGTGAGAGGATCTTGAAGTCAATCCGTTCAGTAATTGGGAGCCAGTGAAGCCTGGCAAGGACTGGTATGATAGGGTTCTGGAGTTTTGTGTGGGTTATTATCTGGGTGGCAGAGTTCTGAATTAATTGAATTTTGTGTATGGTGGAGCTGGGGAGACCAGTGAGCATTCACATTTTGGGGTAATGCACCAAGCAAAATCTTAAATAGAGAAGGAAAATATGCAATACGTTTCAGACCAGATTATGTCCAGACAAGGAACTATGTATGATATTATTGGTTTCACAATACAGCTGTATTGAGATTTAACTGGAAATGTTAATAGTTTACAATTGTTTCCCTGCATGCTCAATAAAGCATTCTTAGAAATTGAATGTAATTCCATTTTCACATCCATTGCTCTCCAGCTGTGTTCTCACAAAAGACTCACTTCAAATTGAAAATGGCTTGTGGGGCCACTACATGATCTTGGCATTTTGTTTGACTCTCAGTTCTTCTTTCATCTATGTACAAGGTCCTTGACTAAGATTGTGTTTCTCTGTATCAAGAATGTTACTTGTCTCTGTGACAAACACATTGAAGTTTTAGTCATCTCCAGATTTGATTCCTCAATTGCTCTCCTTGACAGTTTTCTTAACTCAGCCCTTCATTAACTGCAGTTTGTATCCTCTCCCATATGGCTATGATTCCCAGCCTTGCCAGGATCTTTTGGTTCCCTGCTGCTTCAACATCCTCACTCGAATTTTCAAATCCCTCTATGCCATTACACCACCCAACCTTCTCGTCTCTTCTGCCTCACCAATATGGCTAAGTTTTCAACTACAATGCTCCCACTCTCTAAAACTCTCTTTCAAATTTCCTCTACCTTGCACCTTTATCGCTAAAAATTTTCTAGAAACTACCTTGTTACCTTTGGCTTTGGTTACTTTCGTTCGATGTCCCCGCACTTCCCACTTTGCCTGGGTTTCCACTATGTCCTTATCATTTGTGACATTATAACAAAGTTATAGGGAATTAGTTTGAAAGTAGGAAAAATAAGGAAGGGTGACTTACGTAAATGAGTAGCATTTTGACACAATGTGCTGAATGATTTCTTTCTATTCTGAAAACTTCTGCCTCTAACTGACTGACTAACTAACCGACCGACCAGCTAACTAACTAACTTCAGCCCATTTTGATACTTCCAGTAAAGCAAGCTGATGGTGTGACAAGGGCTTTTATGGGGCCCACCTGACTTGGCTCCTCTTCCTCTTCGGGTTACAGGTTACCAAAGCTTTTCTCTTCTCGTGACCGCAAGTGACCCATAGTTGCTATTCAAATTCAGCTGCTGATAGAGTAATATTGAGTCGAGGAAAGCTACCTACCTTGTAGAAAAGGCAACATACAGGTAGGAGGATTATAATATTACAAGATCACAAAAGAAAAGATTTGAACCATTTCATATTATCCTTACCAAATGCCCTTCCTTACTTCTTCCCGTTTTTAAGATCTGTTTTCCAAATGAGTCGAGAGTTCTGATTTCAGTCACCCTTTTTGGTAACCTGTTCCATCTAGTCTTTTGTGTGAAAAGTACTCTCCTGTAATTGCTCCTCATTATCTATATGTGAATTGACGTAGTTTTTGAACTTGTGATATTTCTAATGTGATTCCTTCTGGGATTTTAATCTTAAATTGTAAACTAATGGCCCTTAGGCTAAGAACAGATTGGATTGCAGGTGTCTGAAAAAATAAGTTAGTATGGCAGGCACAATACTATGAGTTTTTGTCTTAGTTGATGTTCTTATATCAGCTGCCCTCATGAGAAGTCCTGAGAAATGTAACATTTCTCCCTTTGGCTTGAGATGGAGTGGGGTGTTCAAAATGTCCCTGAATAAAAGTATGCTCTATTTCAGTGTTATGTCCACAATAAACACACCATAAACATATCTGGGCATCCTATTCTTTGGATCAATTAATATTTGTTTTTTATTTCAACTGTTATAATTTCTACAGCTGCCTTTGCTCAGCGGAATATAAGTCTGCTTCATATCGTTCTTTCTCTCTGCCCCACCATTGACAAGCTGGTTTCCAGCCAATCTGCCATGCTCTCTGGAACTCCATCCTGAAGAGGTTTGCTCCCTCCCTTCCCTCGTTCACGGCCTGGTTGAAATTTCTCTTCCTTCCCTCATTCACGGATTGGCTCTTTGACCGCATTTTTGGTTATCCTTTCCCATCAGATTGACTAAAAGAAAATTGCCTCTAGAATAATTTTGTAGGGATTGATTATAGAATGTGCATTTCATTAATATGGCTCTATGTAATAACTGAGTATCATTTCACTGAACCTGCCATATTTACCCCCACAAAATGGTGAATAATTTTACAGAATTTGGCTGATAATTTGATGGAAGTAAATGTACTTTTAATGTCTATCCAGTAAAACAAGGGGGGAATTTCTAATGTAAATTCATGTCTCCCAATCATCTGGTACAATGACATTGCCACAAACATTCTCAAAATAATCAAACCAAAGCCAGTAAAAAAAAAACTAGTTT